ATTTGGAACTAGCTGCACAGATCTTTACGCAATACATGTGTGTGTGCATCTGTCTGTCAGTTCTCATGCACTGCTGAGTATCTCATCTTCTTCAGACTTGCTGATCCAATTCAATGTGAATGACTGTGGGATAGAAATCTCAAAGCTGTGTTTCATACAAATTTCATTAAAATCAAGAGCTGCATATCTGGGAAGGGGATTCAACTACTGTTCCCATTAAGAAAAGGCTGCAGCATGAGACCACTCCTAATTAGGCAGCACAAAATCAACACAAGAATGCCCAGACCCATGAAGGGAGGCATAATTTGGGTATGCTTTATATTAGATACTGTAAGACAGATTCACAGGAAATGAGCTTCWTTACCTTCTCTGGTCACACAGAGAAGAACATGTTTTTGCTTGCAACATTTGTTCCATTACTGTGCTAGGGATGGGTGTTAGATACAGGGATGGTAAGTGCCAGGAACATTCTTTCTGTTTTTGAAGATCATTAATATATCTGCTTTTCTTCAAAGCACTACACTACCTCTCTGCTTTTAATCACTAACAGCCCAAGCGTAGCTGCTCCTAACTAATACTCTTAGATGTTCGTTTTCCTTACTGACAAGCTGTACATATTGAGATTTTCTAATTAAAAAGTACTCTTTTTTTGTACAGATAATACCTAGTGTATGGGGTTCATGCTGTAGATGTAGAAGCAAGGAGATACTGCTTCAGTCTGTGGCACTTTCTCGTTCAGTGCTTTCTTCATGGGCAAGACAGGGTTAATGCTGTCCCACCTCCCCAGAAAATTGTGCACAAGAATTAACTCACTAATATGTTATGGGAATTTTAGCTAAAAGATCTTATAGCTTTTTTAGTATTTTTCAGATTTGTAGCCCTAGAGACTTGTTAGGGTAGCAAATATCTCCTCAARATCAAGTTAAATCTGCCAGCCTGGGAACTGTAATTGAAAATTTTTCACTTGAAGCAGTAATAATTATAGGGTGCTATCTGCTTCAGGACTGCATCTGTCAGGGTTTGTCTAGGCTTCTGTTCTCCCTAGACCCTCAGAATCCAGAGTGAGGAGGTCTGTCTCCTATTTTTTGGAGGTTCTGAAAATTCTTCCAAACTCTTCCTTTGTGTGGTTAGACTCTGCTCTCCCGGGCTGTCCTCTTTATTTGCATAGTAGSTTCTCCTGATTTCCTGCCCTGTCCCCAAGGAGTTCACAGCCGGGCAGGATACTTGTAGCTGACTCCAGAAGCCATGGTCTGTGTCAGCTTCCAGTCTTCCCATCCTTGCCTGGAAGACAGCCAGAATCTTAGCACAGTGTGGAGACAAAGGCCTTTTTGGAAGTTTGTAACCCCCAAGAATAACATCCATGACCTTTCTTTAGGCGGGTTTCAGTCAGTTTTTGCTGAGCAGACTCTGTTAGAGTATCCATGCTTGCTGTGTCCTCAGTCACGGACCTCCTTGCCAGTGCATATTAACACAGGGGAAGGGTTATGACTTTATGCTTTGTGGACTCCAGGTTCTTAGTGGTTTTAGTAACAAGAAAAAACTTACAGGAAAAATAYATAATATCTAAAGAACTTAGAGGATAGATGCAGAATATCATTTCATGATGAAATGTCACTGCTGAATAAGAAGTGGGTGCAGTGTCTTGAGGGTCTCCATCCCAACCTACAATGTGTCAGGCTCTAATATGCAAAAGACTAAATCAAGTTCCATTTTAGTTTGCTTTTCTGGGGAGAGGTGGAGCGTGACTGCTGTTTTCCAGACTTCCACACTTGTACTAGCTTCTTAATTCAAAATCTGGAAGCTGCAATCAAGCTAGAGCTTCAGGGAAGGGAGAGGTTAAGAAGGATTGGGAGCTCAAGGGCGTCTTGTCAGTGAGCTCTAGTTAGGAAACAGGCCTGTTTTGGCTCCTGCACTTCCTTTTCTCCCTAGAGCTCTGCCTGTCAGAAACGCCTTCCCACACACCACTGCTCTGCCATTTGCCAGAGAATTGCGGGGGAGAGGGGCTTTTCCTGTCTGTGTGCTGAGACTCAGCCAGCTCTCAGACTGTGGTTTTCTCTGGAGCCTGGAGCCCACTCACTGTGGCTTTGTGTATTTTCCACCAGAGGAGAAACTGAGGACAAACTCAGTGAAGGGCACTGCTCCAGGGTCACACTGAGGGCTCAGCTCTTCCCCTCATCTCCTATCACTGACCTCTAGATGCTGAATTACAGTGTTGTGGTATTGCCTCTGTGCTGGGAATCTRACTTCGAGGAAAGACAAAGCACAACTCCCAGCAGGTTGCTCCTTTCTGAAAACGGTTTAGCAGTCTGCAGAGCTCCCATAAGGGAGACATTCCCCACTCCCTGCTTTGCCAGTCCCCTGCTCAGTTCTCCARTGTCTCATAACATGCAGATCCTTTTGTTCCCTCTGTTAAATCTCCAACATGCTTTCTCTCCCACATCTTACAGGAATGGAAATATTTTCTGTTCCCTGATATTTTTGGGGATTTCCTTTTTGTCAGTGGTGGATATGAAGTTACTTTTTCAGAAGAAGGTGCCCTAGAACTTTTCTATTATTACAAGCACCTACGGAGTTAGACCAAATAAGTGGCATTGTATCATCTTCCCCATAACCTTTTYGTTTCCTAGAACTGTGTCTCAATCCCACCTCCCCCATAAAGAATAATTTAACAAGATAATGCAGAAATTCAATGTAACAAAAGCTTTACTTCTTTGTGGATGGAAGCCCACTGCAATTAGATTGAGGATTGGAGCCCTTGTTTTTTAATCCAGAATTGTATAATTCTATGGCAGTAGTGAGGTTGTCTGCCTTCCTAGAAGCTAGTCCCGGCTTCCAAGAGCATAAAATTCAGCTCTAAAAACTACTTCACTGACTTAACAACTGAACTCTTCTTTTTACGTGTGGAGCCCTGGGGTTGCCTTCACCAGGCAGATATTATCCCTCCAAAAATGTCACCCACCTCTGTCAGCATTCTCAGCAATGTTCACAGAGGTAATCAACAGTTACTATGGGATTTTTTTTCCTTTTTTCACCCAGGCTGTCTTTGCTAACTACTCTCAATCCAGCACCAGTCATATACCTATGCCAGCTGGCTCTGATGCCCACAAGACATCAAGTGCCACTTCTAGTATCCAGAAGGCAGCMAGTTTGCACAAAGTGATGCCATCCCAGAGTACACCTCCTCAGCTGGTTCCAAAGCCTCCAACAAACCACAGACAGGCAGTGATCAGAAAGGCTGCAGCCCAGAGGATTTCCAAGTAAGTTTTATCTCTTCCATCCATAATAGGGAGTTGGCACTGGTTCCCTTGAAAATGAATATTGGAGAAGAAACTGTCTGCATCTCACCCTGGCAGATGGTTTTGGCTGTGCTGTCCCGGATAAATCTCAGAAGAACCTGAGGTGTATGTACCAAAATAAATGTTGTACTATATTGCAGTTGTGTTTCACAATTGTATGGAAGGTAACTTTAACATCATAATACAGGTTGCTAGTGGCATTTTAGATGCCCAGGGCTATTCCATCTGACCTTCAGCTGCTGTTCCAGATGAGTACTGGTCTTCTGAAGAATTTGTGTTGTATCTGTCAGTCTAGTGCAGATGTCTCAAATAACTTGAGAGCAACAATTATGGTACATCTATGTTTAGGCACTTGAGTCACTCCCTCTGATCTTTGATGGGGAGCTAGAATCTGGTGGGTTATAAGAGAGTGCCAAAAAAAAGCCAAAACAAAGCAACAAAGCAATCCAGTACCTTTAACAAGATAATCTGCCCTTGAGCCAAGTTTTCCCATAAATTTAACACACAGTGTTGCATGTAGGCCTTCAAGCACAAATGTTTATTTGATTTGAAATGTTTATATTGTGCTTGATGTAATGATAGCTTTTCTTATTAGCTGTAAAAATCTTCTTTTAATTTTTAGTAAGCTTTYAGTTATCTAGTGCTAGCTATTTAAGGTAAGTAGATGGATTTGACATGTGTTACCTTTGAAAAAAACCAAAAATATTCACCATGAAGGGTTGCTTACTAATTGTAAGTTTCCTTCCTTTCAATTTCTTGGTATGTCTTCTCTTTTGTGCATTATGAGAAAATGTGAGCAAGACTTCTGGGTTTTCAGGTTCCTCAGCTCCCTCTTTATCTCCTCTAAAATGGCAGAACTGCTTTAGTCGAAATCCTTCATCAGGTTTTTCCTCATATATCCTCAGACTTGTTTGATCCTGAAAAACTGCTTTCATAACTTCCTCCTTGTATTTACTCTACAGCCAGAAGAGTCGTAAAGCTTTCAGAGCAAGCTCCTGTGACGTTTCCTGATTCTGTTTTCACTTCCTGTTTAAAGAGAGAAGTTTTAGATTTAGATTACTAATGAAAGACACCTTATGAAGATGCAGTCAGTGTGTGTGAATCAAATCTGGAACTGCAAGACGTGTTTAAGGAACTTGGACAAAACTGCTTTGGGGAAATTTGTGTATTTCCTGTCTGTACTCTTGCTGTCTTAAGAGATAGCACACAGAATTAATCCCCAAAAACTATTTTAAAAGAAAACAAGACGTTAGTATATTTGTCAACTCAGCAAATGCAGATGTGAGCATCAGGTCTGGCAGGTATATTCTGAGAGGTTTGCTATCTGATTTCTTTTATGTTGAGTGGCTTTTGTTAGTGCAGGTGACAAGCTGTGTCAGTGGGTTTCTCTGGGCAGCAGGGATGTGTATTTGAAGATGCCGGTGTGCTGTGCTCACTTCTTGGCAAAGGAAATGTTTATCCTTGTGAGATGGAATTGCAGCTCCTTGGACAGACTTTACTTCGCTGCATTTTTGTGGTTTCTGCTCTGTGACAGGCAGGAGTGTGGGAAAACCGGAAAAAGTTCAGCACCAAAAATGCACAGAAGGGGGAAAAAAAGCAAAAGATTTCTTCAGAATTTCAGAAAACTAATCCAACTATTGAAAGCTGCAAAGAGCCACTCCGGAAATATTTTCCAAGTTGCCTTTCAGTCTCCAGCACAAGGCTCCAAACCCATTCTTGCCATTCATGGGATCCTGCAGTAACATTTTTTCACTTACATGGAAAACAGCAGTGCCTAGCTATATTTCCAGCATACTGAGAGCTGATCGTTTAAAAACTGCTATGTCTCAGACTAATTTAATCCATTCGTTGTTGTCAGGAAAAGACCAGATACACATCTACAGAGGGGAGTTAATGGAGAGAAGCCTCTGTGTCAAAGGAATACAGACCACAGAAGAAAAAGATGTCTTGCATGTTCCAGCCTGTTTTCTACAGTCCCTGATAATTTTGTACAAAGTATTCTCAGACACAATATGTAGTCTGCTTTCAGAAAAGTCCAGTGRTAGTAACTTTACTATGTGCTATAAAAGTCTATTTAAGAATCTAGAAACCTTTTTATCAGCTAGTTTCTCCTGACATGCTATCTGAGTATTTCCTTTGTTTCAGCCTGTTGTACCTTGTTCCCTTCTTCCTGAAYCCTAAACACTTTCTCATGTAAATACTTTCCATCTTTTGAATACCCTTTTACTTCTTGGAGTAAATTTGCTTAGACTTGCTGAGGTTTTGTTAACCTCAGATAGTAGTTTTATCTGCCAAGTCCTTAACTGTCTTGAATTTACTGAATTTTCTTCAGTTTGTCCAAGTGCTTGAACTGTGGCACCCAAAATTATACTTTTCCAGTGTGGGACCGCCATATCCTTAGGTTATGACATGGCAAACATCCCTCTTCATAACATCCTTTTGGCTGCTTCATTTGTCTGACAGGTCACTTTTGATTTGCTGCCCTCTTTCACCCCCTAATACTTCTTGGCTCATCTCCTTCCTCAAAGAGGATGTCAGGGCTATGTATTATTTCCACAAGACTCACTGAAACTAATCCCATTCTGTTGTTAAAGCTTTCATGTCTCTTTTTCTCCCCACATACATTTCAGTAAGCCAGGACTTATTTCTGTTTGCTCTTGCACTGCCTGGCTTTTGTTTCAYGTGTTAATGAAGATCATCTTTTTAAAGTTGTTTCTAGCATTTCACCAGGGACAGAACTGTGATGACAAAATTAAAATCAACTTTGTCTCTTTGACTTATCTCTTCCTTGCATACATTACCAATTCTCTCCCAGCCAGCACGCGTGGCTCCCAGAATAGGAGAAAACTATTTAAAAGTAGAAAACTCAACTACAAACATAATGAGATGCTAAAGATGAACATTACTGGCTAATTCAAAAAATATCTAGTCACTTCGACACTTCCCTGTTGAAACATAAAGGAAAAACTAATGGAACAGCCAGACAATTCAGCTGTCTTTTCAGCTCCTGGCTTCTATTATTTTTGTAAAAGGTGGTAGGTTGACTTTATAATGGATTGTGTCCAAAGAAGACTCCTTGTGCTTAAACTAACAGAGTGGAAAACTGGGGCCCGTATTAAGGTGTGGAAAATGACYGACTGGGAGAAATGGTTTAATATGCAGCTCTATGTTGAAATATAGTCCCATAACATGGTCTCGTGGGGCTCCATAGATTAAATTGGGGCTCCATTTGATTAAATTTGCTTGTATCACTAAYAGCAAGATAGCTTTTGAACAGGTAACACAATAAGCTCTTTTCTCTTTCCAAGAGTCAGACTGGGTCTTTCCCACTGGTCATGTTGCCACTCCTATTGACAGRTCTGTGAACCATGAAAAGACCTGCTGATAGCAGACCTGCTGGTATTTTGGGATAGAGATCACAGATACAGTATTCATAAGCCGTGGAATGAAGCAGATGTCCCTGGAAGTAGTATTTGGTGTGTGGAATCTTCACATTACAGATGACAGCATGCAAAGTAGAAGAATATATTAGCTGAGCTGTTCACCAGAGTGAACTGGTACAGGTGATAGATGAAAAATCTTTCTGCTTTTAGAAATTATTAAGTCGTAATAAATAAACATTTCTGTGCTGTCATTCACATAGTAACTTTTCAGAAACCTTCTCTCTAACTGTAACAGCATCAAGAAGAGCAAGGCTTTGAACAACTTGTGAGCAGAACCATCAGTCAAAGAAAAGATCTCAGAAAAATTGATCTGTCAATATTAGACCACTGTATATAAAGAGGGGAAATGCTAGGTAGAGAAAAGGAGCATATAGTTCAAGATGTAATCAGACAGAGACCAAGAAGATCACCAAATTTACCAGCAGCAGATGGGAGCATTACAAACTATTGGGGATATTGATCAGCATGGCTTAATTTCTTGTACTGCACATCTCTGTCAATGTCATAACAACTCTATTCAGGAAGCCTTTTGAAACAAATATTCCCTTAAAGTCCCACTACCACAGCACAAAAATCTTTCTACATTGTTCTTCCTTGTTGCCAGCAGTAGAAGAGCCGAAGTTCTTCTCTATTTTAACTAGTACAGAAATAGGGTAGAGGGGGTATATTTCTCCAGGATTCAGGAAATCCGTCCCAGAATGGGGAGGACTCCTGTCTGCAACTGGACACAGAAGTAGCCARCTTTTCTAGGATGGGCTGGCCAAGCCTAGCAAATGTGGCAAAAGTAGATGATGATCACAGAGCGAGCCCAGTAAAACACTGGTTCTGTTTTTGTATCCTGTCTTGCCCAAGCGTGAACTGTGTTACATAAGCAGGATACATCACACATGTAACCTGAGTGCCCACTGAAAAGAGGACAGGCAGCAGAGCAAACATGGAACAGTTACTGGAACCCCTTTGACTGTTTTGCTACTGCTGTACTGCAGAACGCTTGTTTTTTCAGCTCCTCAATATCTGGGTTAATCAGGCTGCCTCACCCTTGGACGTTTTTGGCAGTAAAAGCAGCGCATCTGAGTGACATGCCTTGATTTACACCCTGACACAGCTGGGCTCACTAGACCTGTAGCTCGTAGCCCTTGGCTAGCCTTAGATCATGCATACAGATATGCATGCAGGGATATCCCGTCCAAGAACAACAAAGAGGAACAAGCCTCCCTGGCTCTCCATCTTTACATCTATTGCTGTCCTCTTGTCAAACCTGGGCTTTGTGATGCGAGTATGTTGGTGTTCTGTCTGGTTCCACTGGACATTTAATTTCCATCTGTAACATTCCAGCCATAGGTTGTTAAAATGAAGGTATTCCAAATTCATTGTAAAAAGTATTTATCTTTCACCTGTGGAACGAAATGTGCAATCCAAAACTGGGTGGCTTAGGGCTGGCTTAGTACCTAAATTAAGGAAGCCAGTAGCAGTTTCGAGGAGGAGTTAGCAGTAAAAGACATAGAAAAGGGCAAAGACAGATACTTGAATGGAGGGGATGGTTGAAACCGTGTTCATGGTAGTATTGAAATGGAGGATATGACAGTGGATTGCATTGGAGAAGTGGAAGCAAAAACAAMAGGCATTAAAAGTAGGAAAATGAGAAAAGGCAGTAGGATTTCAGCCAACCCAAGGAGGAAGAAAGTGGAAAGGGATTACTCAATTTAAACAGTGAATATGTCCTGGCACTGAAACTTCTATGAGGACAGCAGTGAGAGTGTGAGGGAGTGATCTTAGCCTGGTGGGAGATCCCAGGAGCAGAGCTGRGAATGAGCTGTCAGAATGAAGTGACCGTTGAAATGGCAAGAATTAAGGTGCATTGTGGGTAGGCAGAGAAGGGCAAGTCTGTAGAAAGAACTTCTCTGAACAATAAGGTAGAAGTGTGACTGTTCCTTGTTTTGCTTTTTTTGTTGTTCTACTTGTTGACATTCTTGATTCCTTTTTTCATTTATTAGACTTGCTTTCTAGCTACAGAAGGGTGAGCTGTCAGTCATGCTGTGTTAACAAAGTGGACTAGCTAATTAYGAGCATGGAACCTCTAAGAAGCATAAAGATCCTGTATTCTCGGCTTCCAGAAGGACCATGCAATGTCAGCACAAAAGAAACCATAAGTACAGATCCAAAATTCTCTCCAAGAGACAATAAACATAGAAACAGGCACCTCATTTGACAAGAGCACTTCCAGTTAATGCTGACTGAAGGAAGGGGTTGTGGTATGCAAATGTATCTGTATCCCTCTCCCTTCGTTTGTGGACTCCAATTTATTTCACTGAAATACAGCTGAGATAAAATTCAGGAGTCCCTCACAGACCTTTTAGCTGTCAGGAACACCTGGGTTACTGACAACGTGCTGACCTTGAAATCTGAAAGCAAAAGATTTCAGATAAAATGATAGAAACTGCACATGTGTGTCTGTGTCCATTAGTTGTCAGGGCATCTTATGGGGATTGGAGATTATGGTGCTATTCTGGGGAAAAGCAACTGTAACATTGCAGAGCTCAGTGAGTGAAGAAGGACTCTGGCAGGGATGAGCGTACACACAGAAGTCTGGAGTGATCAGAATTGAGTTGGGCAGGAAGGAAGAAAAGCAAGGAGGAATAAGGCAGGGGAGGACAAACACAGAACAGATGGATAATTGTATAGATTTTTAAGGACAGAATAGATGCTTGCAGCTGTGTAGCTTGCCCTTCCATGGTGAATAGACACAGTTTTTATGTAGGAGAACATGGTTTCAGTTTCRTAATGCATCTTTGTAAGTTAAAGTATGTGCAGTTGTTGTCTACAGAATATAGTTTTGCTGTAACTCAGTTTGCTGAGATCAGTGCAAGAGGACTTGCATAAGGTATCTGCTTGAGGAATGGCAGATACTGGACTACTGGAAATTAGATGCATCCCATATGTCTCAGTTTCCAAGATAAGTGAGAAATCTTGGCTAAATGAACTCTTTAATTTAGCATGTTTTGACAGCATGTACATTTCTGTGCAGTTGCTTAATCACTCTAGTTCAAATCATTGGACTAAAATGACCATAACATCACTAGAGGAGATGTATGTTGGTGGTCCAATACAATTTAGTATCTTCTTTATTCTTCAGAATCAGTTTCCAAGGCATATGAGATAATTAAGTGTTTTAGTCACATCAAAGTTTTCTTGGTGGCTTGACTGTTTATCTGTCTTGCTCTGCATTTTTGGAGTCAGTTGCTGTCACTGCCTTTTTCATACCATGTTCAGACACAGCTTCATGGTTACAATCCCAGTCAGATTATGTAAAGTAGGGGAATTTTTTGTTTGAGACTTCTCTTCTTCCTTGCTRTGTCACTTCTTATCTCTGTCTAATTTTATGGTTTTACCTCTAAGGGTGACCTCTACTGAAAAGCAGCTGAATGGATTCCAGAACAGTCTTCACAGTACTGCATCCTGTGAGCCAGGGACATATTCCACAGGTGAGTGACAATGCCWAAGACCATGAAAGTGGGGGTGGGCATGCTGGGATGCTTTCCTCTTTTTCAAGAACTGGCAGGGAAAAAACCTTCTCAGTAAGAAGAAACACAGCTGCCTCCTCTGCATGTAGTGGTTTCTAGGTAACAGTCTGGGTTCAGCTGTGCAGGGAATTTATAACCCTTGGGATTAAAAAGACTAAACAGAAGGGAGCAAAGGCTGAGTTTCTTAGAGTTAGAAGACCCCTTAAAATATGGCTGGGGTAAAAAAAAAAAAAAAGCACCTTGGCTAAAATGGCTCCTTTTTGCTTCAGACTTTGGCTCAGGATGTTCTGTTGTTTAAGCTTGGCCTGTAATAAAGGGCCAGGACATTCTTTAAATTTTTCTTTGGTCTTGTAGAAAAGCCTCTTAGTTTAGAACGACATAGTTTAGACTTGTGTATCAGCTGCATAGTGAAGTCAATCAGTAACAGTGGAAGTATCYGATAGAAAATCTTTGAGACTTACAGAATCAAATCTTAATCGTTCTCTAGTGGCTAATCAATTCAAACAAGTTTATCTGCTGTTAAGTTCTCATCAAATGAAGACCTGATCAATTTTTCATTGATGCAGACGTATTGGCAGGTAGAGCATAGCCTTGATWAACTCATCCTACCCATGGCTCACCGTAATTTATGATAGTGCTATAATGGAATATGTGGACTGATTATGTTCCAGAATGCTTTGAAAAATTATGTTGCTGACCTTTTTGCAGTGAAACCATGAAAACATGGCTTGAGTGTCACTAATGCAGTGATCTCTGTGTTTTCAGAGGCTGAAAGAAAAGTTTGTGTAAGGGTGAATATCCAGTTCATCTCTTGGATATTTATCTCTGAAATTTAAAAGATGACATTTCCATTATTAATGTCAGTGGTTTTTTTGCTGATCCTCTAGCACAAACATTCCGCTAATGCACTTAACGTACAGTTCCAAACTGCCTCCCACACTTTACCACTTGCCAAAAWCTCCAGTTATCCTACCAGAAATTTTACAGGGTGATTAGCCATAGTCAATATAAAACACCCTGTGGTACATTGGAACATGAAAGTGCACTCTGGCATATAATAGTATTATCAAAATAAATAAAATTATGTCAGTCCAGTGGTGTATGTATAGCTGAAGCAAAAATTTTTGYTTACTGTATAATGCAAGTTTATAGTACAATATATAAAGCAATGTTACAGATAATTTTAAAAGTAAATGTAAAAATTAAGTTCTCAATATATTGACCAAACTGGATTGTTGAGCAGATTTACATGAATGTGTTTGTATGCTGAATKATGCCTTTTTTTCACATTTTCAAGAGCACTGTCACAGTTGCCACCCAGTAATTTTAACCTCTCCAAGGAAATCTCTCCATCTCCTCTGGGTACTGTTGTTATGTGTGTCCATGATAACTGTAGGGAGCATTTTGCTATCCTTCCCCATTTCTGTGAATATGTATGCAGCACATGCATGAGGATGCTTGATAGTATTAATGATGGAATGCAACAGCCAGAGCTGAAGGAATAATACAGTCTAGATAACAACTGTAAAGTTCAGGGTAGTCACTTCTCTGTGAATACTTGTAACCCAGTGAGAATTGAGAACTTGAGCTCATATTTCTTTCTGTAGAACTGGGCTAGCTGTACTGTGCTAAACTACCCTCTCTGAAGCTGAAACAAAGGGTTAGCCTGCTGTTTAACTAAGAGTATCAGGGCTTAGGTAAAGCCCAGGTTTGGCTAGGGGTAGCTAGTAGAATGATGGTGGGTGGGTGGGTCACTCAAAGCTTCCTTGTTTCTAAAAGAGGTGCATAGCTCCAAGAACAGTGCTAAATATTGCGGTGATTAAGCTAATTAGAGCAAAATGTTTGTTCTTGGAAACTGGGGAATGATATTTTCTTCARCTTTGCACCAAGCCACTGGTATGCGTCAGAGGCTGTTGTGCCCAGTTTGTGTGTCTCAGAAACTACTCTGGTCCTTGCTGCAGGAACAGCTGTTTTTCTTCTTCACTCTCTCCATTGGTTGCTTACACTAAGGCCCCAATTTCCCTTCAGCAGGAGTTTACTTGGGGTTATTGTTTCACATGTATTTAGTTTCCTAGACACCAACTAGTGAGGTTGGACACACACGCCATAAAGCAAATCACAGAATAAACTGCAAGCATTTAAAGATAGAAGGCTATGAAAAACTGCAGAGATAAAAGAGCAATCAGGCAGAACCTCTGTATAAACACACATAAATGTTCAAAATCATCTGAGAAACTTGAATAGGCCTTCTCCTCTAACACCCTATCTGAGAACAGTCACAGGGCTCTCTGGAGAAGCAGCATAAAGGTGTCAGCTGATCTTACCTCAAGCCAGGATGATGCTCAATGGAAGAGTCAGCCAGGCAGTGTGGAAGCTTTTAACTAGATTGCCCAGAAGACAGTTCACTAGTGGTTAGTGCTGCAGCTGCAGAATAGTGGTTGTAGACACTGTTGTGCAGTGGACTCTGGCTCTTGAGAGCAGATGCCTGAAATAAAAGTGAAAAGTCAGCATTTCTGCAGAATAGCTAAGGATTCTGAAACAAGCCACTACTACAATGAAAGTAGCCTCATCCTGTTTTCATAGGGAGGCAGAAGTTGTGTGAGCTGTCTGTCACTAGTGTAATGAAAGAGAAGGCTGAGAGCCTCATGACTATACAGACAGGAAGCTAAATTTGCAAGATAGCAATTGGGGGTTATTTGTAGTATCTAAACAGACAGGCTCTTAMCAAAATCTGTGAAAGTTTAACAGATTTTAAAAAATCAGTAAAATCTCTAATTAAAATTAACAAATTTGATTTATTCTAATAAAGAAATACTGAGAATTACTACCTCTAGGGAGCATTCAAAATGCTTGTGACCTGATTTTTCATTGAAGTTAAACACCCAGCCACTAGTGGGTTTCTGAAAATACAGCCATTTTCACACTGCCTGTTTTCTTCTGTGTTACTTTAAAGGGTCCCTCAGCACTGCATTGATTATTTCCTGTTTCATGGAATTTAGCAATTAAATTAYTGTTAATGAAACAGGGTGATTTTGAATTAAGGAACAGTTCTCTTTTCAAAATCTTCTTCAGACTATAGTTTGCTGAGTAACAGCTAAGSTAAGTACTGTGGCTGGTTGTACAGGTCCAGGTTGTCCTTAGGAGGATATCTTTGGTATGTGGAGGCTGTGCTTGAGTTCAGATGATGGTCAGGCTGGTCATTTTTGTTTTACTGTATATTTTAAGATTGTAAGGTGTATGGAGACATTTTGCTATATTTTTTTGGTTTATTTTCYATTCCTCTTTAGTGGTATTAGGTAAATAGTGTGTGAATTTGTTTTCCCAAGAAAGTGAAGGTCTAGGTTAAAAAGATGTCATTTTTYCACCAGAATTTAGCTTTTGAACAAGCTGTGTCTGCTGAGAGGAGAAAAAAAAGGTTAGAATTAGGGGAGATAAAAATTAATAATATACATTTAAAATTTGATGGCAGTGAAGACCACTAATTCATGCAAAATCTTGGATCTCTACCTAGTGTGGTTGAAAATATGAGTCCAAAACTAATTTATTTATATGTTAGTTCTCTTGAGAATACTTGATACAGAAGGTGAGTGTCAAAACCCAGTCTGAAACTAGGATGAAATTTCTTGAGCTGGTTGATACAGACTTGTTTTTATTTCCCATGATTCCCAGGTGAGTATCTGAGCTTAGTTGTAGGGTGATGAACAGTTATCTGTTTATTGTGGAAATTCACCTGGTCCCCATATCTGCATGAATGCAAAGTCCTGAAAGTATGCAACTCTTTGAGTTAAAGTGTATTATCATCTGTAAAGGCTTAAAACTGGATCATGAACTGCCAAGAGACTTGTTGAAGAATGTGGGGATTAATAAAATGGTTTGGATCTAATCCATCTACAAGGCAGGCTGCTATCCTTCATTTTTTAGTGATTTCCTTCTTTAAGCTAAGGTGGAGAGCCGTGTCCAAATGCCATCCAAATGTGAATGTACAAGCAGTGTGGTCCAGTATGGAGCAGTGAATGGAGCCTGCTTGTATACTAGTGAAGTAAGGAGTACTTTCGTACTCGTACTTCTCACCATCTAGTGTGCTCCAGATGTTTTTCATTTTACAGAAAATCTACAAGTAGACTGTATTGCTCAAGTTTTTGATATCCAAGATTATTGCACGGACCTTCAAAGCAAGATCATATTATTATACATCTTGTTATTTGAGAYCTGAAATTAGAGTTAGCATTGGAGGTGCTAAGTCTTGACTGGCTGTTGTCTACCCACTGCTTGAACATTATTCTTGAAATGCAGCCTCTTCAGATTCTTTTAGCAAGTATGCAAGAGTACAAGCTTCAAAATTGTCCCGGTCCAGGAAAAAAAAAGGGCAAGTTAACACATCAACCATATAAACATGAGACATATAAGTCACTTCATATTGCTTGCCAGATGTAAACAAACAAAAAAAAAAGTGTGGAATTTGGAGATTCTTTTATCAGCCAGAATCTCACAACTCTCTTGGAGCATAAAGGGTGGGGATGGGATGTAATATGTACTGTTACCACTGTGCATGGCCTGTGTCAGACTTCCAGCCATTTGTTACAGTAGGGTGGAATTCCCAGCTGCCCAGCCTTGTCCAGGCTTCCTCGGCTTTTGCCAGGTTTCCTGCAGCCTYGGAAAGCAGTAGATTGTTGAGCACCAATGTATTTATTTTTATGTTGTTACCACATTCCCAAGAGGAACCTTGACTATGATTTCAGCTGGTCTCACCACACTGTCCAAATCCTTCATCAGGAGCAGCTGGGAAAAGAAATCGCTCAGGTTTCTTCACTGCACATTGCTGGTACGCCTCCTCCCTCTCACTAATCCTGTTAATTCCAGTCTTCATTTGCCACCCTCCTGGTTCTCTCTGTTGTTGCTATGACTGACTGCACAAATGTTCTTCACTTTAAAAGATGACCTTCAAATTGGCACCTCGAGTAACCTCTACCTGAGACTACTTTAACTACTCAGGCATAAGATATCTGTTGGCACAGAAGAGCAACTTTTGATGTCACCTCATTACAAATCCTAGTTTAGGAATGGAGTCATGATGAGCTCTTCCACATAAATCCTTTCAGAACCACCTGTCTGGCTGGATCTGGAGAAGCTCTGGGTGGTTCGTTGAAGAGGGAACTCTCCAGTGTGATATCCAGCTCTTTGCATCAAACTTTTCTAGTGCTCCTCTCACCCTTCATATAGCCTTTGTCAGCAGCAGTTCTGTCACTATCTCTCTGTAGTGCTGTCTCCACACAGAGAAAGGATAATTGAAACACAGAATTCGTCCCTTTTACCATATTTTGGAAAGCAGTGGAGCTTGAGTTGAATCCTACTGTTGTTCCTCCCTTTTTGGGAGGGCAAAGAATCAGTTACAATGGAGAATATTTAGTTGCGCATTTGTTCTTATTGTTATCTTCCTAAAGCCATTGTTTTTTTATGCATCACAAAAACGTCCTGGATAATTTCTCTCCTACCCCCTACTGACTTCCACAGTTTTTTAATGAGAGCAAACAGGAAGGGGGGAAAAKTAATTTCTCTCCTTGCTTTAGTTGTTGAATCAGTCCCAGATAATGACACACAAGCCTGTAGTACCAGATGGGCCTGAAGGGAAGGGAGAAGGGTGAAGAACTTTTCTTTTTACCCTATGTCTTAGTACTYTTTGAAGGGGCAGGGAACCATTCATTACCTTATGACTTAAAATTGGCAAATATTCTAACCAGTACCTTTAAAACAGATACAAGTTACCAATAGGACATGACTCTGTTTGAGTTTATCCATTTCTGAGAAGAGTGKGAGTCTCATTAAGTCTCAGCAGAGTGTAAAGCACTGCCAGAAGCAGCATTCCAGGCCCTTCTCAAATGATGTGAAGATAATATCCAACTCAGCCCTTGCCTCTCAGATAGAGCTGAGGGTCAGCGTTCACTTCTAGTGATGTGAAGTTTATTCCTTCTGAGAGGAATCTGCCTCTCACATCTTCACTCAACCTTTTGCCTTTCTTTTATGAAAGGAAGGACCTTTTTCCTGTTGCTYCTGTTCTCATGGCACTGAAAAGAGTCTCAAGACTTTTCCTGAGAAAGCAGAAGGAAAGAACAGTCTTTAGAAATTGGCTTCCCTGTTGCAAGTAATGATTTCAGGGAGTTGGCATTTTTGCCTGACTGGAGGCTGAGCATTKCTTGTTCTCAGTAGTGTGGTGATAGTGAACTGCCTGTGTTGAAAATGCCATTCAAGTTTAGGTGTGCAAAGACCGGGGAGAGGTTATATAATATTTTGGCTGCTTCTGTCTCACATCTGGTCCRTCAGCATTAAGCTATGTATAGAGGGGATGACTTTGCCCATCCAAATTGGGTTTTGTTTTAATCTGGCATTTTTTTTTTTTGAGACTAAAAATAGAAGCCACAACGTATGTGAATAGGTAAAAGGAGTGTCTGAGGTTATGAAATTACATGTGGRGAAGAACCACAGAAGAGAGAGCCACAATGAACCAGGGAGTGGAGAGATGAATAAAAGAAATCAGAAAGAGGGCCATCAAGTACAGAAGGGCATTAGTGATCAGGATGAGTGTGTGGCACAGYGTGTTCAGCATGGGGAGCAGGAAGGCTCATGCTGACTTCCACTGGTGTTTCTTTGCTTGTCTGTGAGTCTGCTCGCTGCTTTGTTCATGCAGGAAGACTTCTCTGGAATGCAGTTGAACTGTTTGTGAGACACACATCACACTCCCCACACACAGACATCCACACCTCCCCACACCTCTCTCACCTCTCCACCCCCTAAGAAAAYTTTCATGTCTTAGAACTGCTGTTTTCGCTTGCTTTCCAGCAAGTCAGGTTGAAATTGTGCCCAAAATATGGGGGGGTGGAGGGGGAGGCTGGATTTCTGTTGTCAGCTGTCCTGGCTTGCTAGTGTCAGTCACCCATGGATATAAATAAACCCATTCATTTATTGCCTTTCTTAGGTGCACTATCTATTATCAAGAGAATGCTGGGCATCATTCTGGGGTTAGAAAATCCCTCTGGGATAAAAAAAAATCTGAATTTCTAGGATAATCCTAGATTTTCAGGGAGAAAATAAGTTTCTGTTTTCAGCACTAGATTCAGGAGACTTCAGTATGCTGCTCAGTTCTCCCACAGACTTTCTGCGGACATGATGAAACAGTCCAAACTGGCACTAAAAAATATTAGCATAGGTCCCCGACCCAGTACTGTTATCTAGCCTTGTGCTCTTCTCTTATTCCTGCAGCTTGGAAACACAGTAGATTAGGTGCTGGTTTGTGACCAAGGCTGTGTACATCTGTGCTGGGAAAGTCTATATGGCACTGAATTTTAGTGTGCAGATACCTCTTAAATGACTTCACACAAGTCCTCTGATTTTCTTGTGACTCAGAATCATATCCATAAAATGGAGGTAATCCTTTTCTTCCCACTGTGTGACTGTTCTGAGTTTTTGAGGTGCAGTCATGGATGACATAATAGTGTGTAAATATGTGGACAGACATATGGGCAGATATTTTGACACCTCCTGGCAGGCAGAGAATAAAGGAGGCTCACTCTGTTGTGGTGTGGTGATTCACTGCAGTGACTTCTTACCACTGGAGAGAATCAACCCTTAATGTTGGCTGCTGTCAGGAATGAGCTTCTTTTCTATTCACTTTACTCAACCAGAACCTCAGTCTAGTCAACTACAAGGAGGTGGAATGCTTACCAGTATAATTTTTAAATTATAAAACTTCGTAGAATTATATAGATTAACATTTAAGAAATTACTGAATTGGCAATGAGCTGCTYCTTGTTGGAAATTTACATATTTACTTGCAGACATAGTAATGCCCTTCTCTGTGCTGAGTCCTCAAGGTAATCATACAAGAACTCAAGGAAAGAGATTTTAATTCACTTTGTGAGAAAAGACAAACTGTTCTATGCAGTTCTGTAGGAATAGGAAGGCTCAGACATCTTCAAAACAGGAAAATGAGGTTGAAGTTGTCTGCCTCTCTCTTATGCCTTTGTTTCCTYAATTTCAGCATATTGCCAAGGGATAAGTTTCTGGACTGGTATCCTATCTTGATGCACATGCTCAACAGTTTGGTTCCTAATTCAGTTTCCAAACTTTCTGTGCAGTCACATAGTTRGCAATTCCACTTTCTAAACATATTTCCTGATCCTCTGTGCTCTGTGATGTTTGGSTCTATGCTGGACTTTCAAGTAAAGTGTATTTTTTTTAAATATAGCAATATTTTTAATAAACAGCTCTCAACAAATGTCACTCATGTTTAGGAGCAAGCTGATGTGCCAAATACACAGGACAAGCTTTACCTACTAAATTAGCTGTAAAATGTAAACTGTCCAAAATAAATTTGGTACATTTCTAAGTGATTTGTTTTGGTTTTTTTTTAAAGGGCTGTCTAAGGATGTTTAAGTAAAAGAAGTGAAGATAGCATTGACATTTTCCCATAACRTGCCTAAATAGGAAAGTGCTGCAGTATATAGAAGTCAACTGTATAATGAGAAAAAAAAATTCCTTATTCCCACTTTGTTTCTTTAAGGATCAACCTATTCACACCCCTATCTCTCCTGTACCAACATCCTCAGCATGTGTTGGAGTGGGGAAGTAGACTCCCGTAGAGTCTATGGGACAYGTAGATTTCCCGTGCAAGAAAATGAGTAAAAGATCCAAAGAAAAAGATAAAGCATACTGATTTGGGAGAGGGATTTAGAGGCGGGTACATGTGAAGACATTAGTCATGTGAGTCAGAAGCAAAGAGTGAAGAAGGTGTTCTGGTGCTTGAGAGGAATACCAAGAGTATTTTTTCACACAGTAGCCTACTAAGGTTTTGGTTACACTGATCTGGGATCTTGTCTATTATGGCAGAGAGGTTATGTGGTAGGGACACCCAGGTTTCTGGTGATAGCTGAGATTTGCAGAGCAGTGCAGCAGTTTTTCCCACAAAACAGTCCTCCATGATTGCTCAAAATCTTTGAGTAAAAAGCCTGTGTTTTTTTCCCAGCTTCTGCTCGCAGAGAAGGACTAACACAGAACACCAGGTGAGGAATCCAGGGCATTGCTTCATGTATAGGACAAAGGAAAAAGCAGCAGTGACTTCACACCACCACATTCCCGTATCAGCCAAAAAAGAGAGAAGAGGAAGCCTTGGTGAGAGGACAACCCCCTGAAGAGGGTACCTAAACATCTGTGAAAGCAGATTGTGGTGATGCACCCGCAAGCTAAGGTGAATGAATGCTTTTGAGAGCTTCTGCTGCTGAGTCTTTGGGTCCCTTCATCCATTTCTTCCTGATCACTAACTGTGAGATCTTTCTGTAAGACAAGAGATCTTTCCTCCAGCTGTTCTTCCTAAAGTCCAGGTTTGAACATAAAGTCTCATTTGCTCAGCGATTTCAGTCTGTTCTAGACTGGTAACAGCCAAGATTTCATGCTTTCATCACATGGCAACCATCATCGGAGAAAAATATTAGAACATACGACTCGAGAGGTCTGTGTTGGTTGCCATCTTGAATTTTGGCACAGAGTCATAGAAATGATCAGTTTGAATAAAGTGATTTCATTTGTTTGTTTTGGTTGTAATTTCAGTTGTTTATTCACACACCCAAAATGCTGTTGGTCAACTGAACAGGATTTTAAATCTGTCTTTATGTTGGATGTTTGCGTTCTGTGTGGCTTATTTTGTATTTCGATTTCTGTTTGTTTAGGCTTTATAAACTTTTTTAATTGGCTGATGTTTTCAGACCCAAGCTTGAACCCTAAGGCCCAGGTGGCTCTTATCAGTTGCAATTGTCTYGGTGAAGCACTCCAGTTAAAATTTGCATAGTGTTATGGAAATTTGTTTGCTTGTGTTAGAAAACAATGTCAGCAGCTGGAAAATGTATTGGAGAGAAGATCCATCCATCCTTAAAATGAACAGGAAGCGGCTTCAGCTCTGCCTCTTTGTTGGTGCCAGGTAAAAGGAAAACTCAGTATTTTGCAACTTCTGCCTTGTCCAACAGCAAGGGATATTACTGATAACTCTCAAAGGTAAAAAATCTTGTGTGGCTTGTATCAGAGTCTTCAGAGTTTGGATTAAACATCCTGTTTGATCTCTTTTCTTACTCCACATTCCCCTGTCATTTCTAGTTTTTGTAGTCAGTGTTAAGAGATCATTCTAATGTGTAAATAAATAGATAAGGATCAGCCCAAAGGGCCTACAGAAGAAACTGTATCAGAGGGGGAAGGTGTTTCCTCTTCAAATGATTGAGTTCGTGTTTACTYGTGGATTCTGCATATTTTCTGTCACTCAAGACCAGATAAACTGTGAGAAGATAARTGATTATGTTCATACCTTATTAGTTTCACCATCGCTTGCTTCAGGCATGAATTCATAGGAGAATATGCATTTTTCTATGTCTGTTATACTCACATGTTGAATACTTCACTGGTCTACAATGCAGGTCTCTGACAGAGCTGTTCCCTTCATGGGCTTATCTTTCGTTTCCGTTAGAYAGTCATGATCATGTTCACTTTCTTCACATTTTTGTTGGCTCATGATTAGTGAAAGTTTAGTTGCAGAAGTTGTTACTTCAGACTTGTGCGCATCCTCAGCACCATGGGTTTCAGGACCTTAGGTGTGTCTTCTCACAGCCTTCTCTGCTGTGTGTGCTATTGGCTCTCGCCTCCAGCTCAACTGGAGTGCCTTCTTTGATGTAAGACTTYGCTTCAGTAAATAACAATTCCATTCCTTTCTTCCTCCCTAAGTATCTGCGTTATCCTTATTCCACTGGGTTTTAAGTCAGGATTGAGTAGCTGTAGGATATACATCTTTGTGGAATTCTAATCTCTCTTTTTGTTTTGGAGTTTGTTTGTTCAGGTTATCACAAGCCACGACTTAAAACTGTAGAGAGGTTTGGAGGCTAGAGATTTACTTAGCTCAGGAAAGGTGATTGTCTTATAAGAATCATTGTCAGAAGCAACATTCTTACATCTTTGTCAAGAAAATTATCAATTAGTGCTGGCTTATTATGAACACTGGTGAATTGTTTTGTCAGCTTTGCTAGTCTCGCACCCACACATTTTGGGATGATGATTTTAACTTGGTTATAGCCATTTTTTTCTGAACTTTTCATTGCATGTTAGATGTAGCCAACCCCCACATCTGTGACTGTGATGACTTAGTAGCAGTATGTTAAATAGCCTGTCTGTAATTTTTTTTAAATATTCAGGAAAATGCATAGTGCAGTCTAAGACCCTCATTTTGAAAGGATGAATTTTGTCAGTGTCAGGAGCAGTGAAGACTTGCATCCTTTTGCCCAGGAAAATTTTTTTCTGTTTCTGACAAATTTTAGAAAATCAGCCTTGGGATATCAAGACTGGTCCTTTACCTGAAGCCAAACACCTAGACTTGGAATACCCTCTTTATTCTCAGGATGTGTTAGGACAGCCAGAGCATCAAAGGACATAGCAGTATTCCTTTGCCTTGAGCATCTGCTGATCCCATCTCTGAACACAAATGCTGCTACAGTGGGGACATGTGCAATAGAGGATCAGGAAAAAATTCTGTGATTCCAGCCTCTTATTTCTTCCATCCCCTTGTATTCTTCAGCCCGGAGTCCGTATGTCTTTGTGCATTGTGGGTATTGGAAGATAACGTGTGTATTTTTTTKCAGCTCTGAACCTCCATGTCTATCCATTTCCATAAGCCTCTCAGTGCTTCAGTTAAGAGATTCAGTGGGGAAGCATAGAACTTTTTCCCACCCATCTTGGGAGAGAAGGCATTTTACAGGCAGTGTTAATCTCCTACAAGGGAGGGAACTAGAATCACAAATGGTTTTGGATATATAATAGTTGCACAAGGGGAGTACAATTATATATGTGTTCCTCAGATGGGGTTTATTTTTCTCTGCTTTTAGGACATTTACTTCCTTGTATTCATCAATTGTTCCATCAAAAGTGTCATTCTTCACTGCAAGAAAATTACCCATAGAAAGCCCCAACAATGATTCAGCATCCATTCCAGTGGTGACAATGAATAATGTAATCAAGGGATCCCCCTCTTCTGTGATGTTTGCATCACTTCTAAATTATGGAACCTGCTCTAGTGACAGARAATCAGGCTTGTTAGTCTCAAAAGGAGTAATATGCACATCAGAGTCCCAGAGGCTGAGGTAATGYGGAGTTCATACAGCATTTTGTGCCATGTTTTAGATGATGAGCATACAACAACACAAAAATTAAGAAGAGGGGTATTAGATTCTCCCCTTTCCAGAAGAACTCATTTGTGCTCAATACATGAACTATTAAGTTTCCTTTTAGCAAGTTTTATCTTGGCCTTTAAAACAGCCTTAAAAGGCATGTGAGTGCCCATCAGTGGAAGATCGTGTTGTGACCATAGACAAAGCACTTTGTCTTGGGTGCAAACAAGATGTACTGAAATTTCTATTCTCAAGACTAGGTATGTTTTTGGACAATCATGATTTGTTGGAAATACTCCTCACTATGATGCCTAGAAGGCTGACAGATTAGTTCCATGTTGTGGAAGGAGGCTGTGGTATCAAGACCTTTGTTTACTGGTAGGAATCTCAGTGCTGCGCCTTTTCCTTATAAGAGATACAGATAAGAGAATACAGATACTCTCCATATGCAGGGAGTTGAATGGCTGGCACTGCTAGATCATTCTTCTTTGCCTGAGGAGCTCATTGATGCACAGATGACTTTCCAGAACACACTTGTATTCTCAGCTTGCATTCTCTCAGGCAATGAACCTTGTGCTAATACAACAGTTCCAGTAATTTTGGATCATTTGCTGGGAACAAAAGTACTCTGGCTCCTGTTTTATTTTTTAAGGTTTACATGATAGCACTGCCAAGGACTTTTTTCCTCTGTCAGTCCTACATTTGCTGATGATCCTGGGTTCACTGTTTGAATCTGAATGGGTTATTTGCTGGTGTATAAATAGTTGTATTTTTTTGGTTTTGGTATTTTTTGATAGACCCTCTTCAAATTATTTCCTATCTGAATGYATTATTCCAGTGGATCTGTCATAAGTCTCTTCCAAAAGAAGTTTCTGAGCTTTACTTAACTCCGGGACTTAACTTTTTTTCCTTCTAGAACCTYGTGTTTCTAGAGCTGAGACATCCTTGTTTACACCAAACATCAGAAGAACCCTATTTAGCTTTACAGAACTGAGATTGCTTATACCAACAGCTTAACATTCATAGTTCTCTTCATGCAGAAAGTGATTAATTAGAAAAGACATGGGCAAGGAGGCGTGTAAAAGAGAAGTTGCAAAAGGAGTGGTTGTTCACAATCATGCCACTAAAAGTAGAAACATAAAATGAAACTAACAGATATAAGCTTCAAAGGAAAAAATAAAGTGGGGGGAGATGGCTACTTTTTTTCACAGTACTTGACCTATGGAATTTCTTGTGACAAGATGTGGWTACAAAAAAGAGCATGTGGTTTGAAAAGACAAGTAGACAAATGCATGAAAAAGTAATCTGTTAGGGCATATTAAATATTAAAACTGAAATCCAAGAAGTTTCTAAGACTTTCCAAGTGAGTATTCTGGGGAATTCTCACAATGGGCTTTCCCCATTTTTAATTTGTCTGTCAGGCACGGGCTGTTGACCTCTGTCCAACAAGAGCTGGGCTAGATGGTCTTGTATTCTGACTTTGTATGGGTGTTTTGACAGTGTTGACTAGGACAGCCAAGACAAAGCTACTTTCATGACAGTGGTATGTTCCACCCTCGAATTCATCCTGTGGTGTTGAGTTTTCATAAGAAAAGAGGCTATRTGCCCCGTTGTCACATGAAACTTGTCTACACTTCCACCTGGGTGAGCGCTATATACTGCAGAGGCTTTCAGAATGATGGAACTTTCAAAAGAACATTAAGGGTACTAAGATCCACCTCTGGACAAATTGTGATTTTGGGGGAAAGTAGGTTTCTCGATAGAAGTCATCAATAATATGATCCTTGTAAATGCTTAACTGCATAAAGATGGAGAAAAACTTTCCACTAACTGAAGCTTTTAAGTTAYCTTATTCATACACATTTCACTTCTTGCCATCTTTGTCTTCCAAAGAGCTCAAGTCMAGAGCACCTTCAAGGTGAATTTGCACAATCACAGCATGTCTTAATGAACCTGGTAACTGGTTCCCTCCCACTTTAGAACACTGCTGTCCTTTTCCAGCGAATGAAGTTTCCGTGCTGACTTAGAGATGAGTAGTTAGGAAATGCAGACTGATCTCAAAATTGTTGGATCCTGAGTTTTCCTTTGCAGTTGTAAAGCAAGAGGACAATTTCACTGAACTGAAGGTGACAAATGACACCAAGTTTGCCCTGAGGAGTCTGCTCTGTCTTTTACCTTACCAGAAAAGGATTTCATTTGCCCTCATTGAAAAGGAGTTTCCACTGCTGTTTTGAATTAAAAGGAAAGAATCACTGATCACTGTGGAGACCCTGGTATGAAGCCTTTGCCAGTGGTATTCAGTGAGTCATAGAGGTTCCCAAGGGAAAACACTATACTTAACAGGGCCTCTTCTCTACAAGTCCACGCCTACAGCACACACAGTGAGCTTGAGAAGTCTTACATTCTTTGAAAAGAAGTGGCTTCTTTATCTGACCTATCAGACAAACAAATCACATTGACCTTAAAAAGACCAAATTTGATGCAGTTGTTAAGAATTYCGGGGCTGTTAAAAATGAGTCTTTTATTAATGAAGTTTTTTATTGTTTGTGTGGGGCAGSTGAAAGAGGTGCTGTTATCTCTAAAAGCAATTTCAACACTGTATTTGGCCTCTTGCCTTCTGCTGCACTGGGATGTGCAACGGRAGACAACCCCAGAACATTAGTTCAATTTGGTGCCCCTGCAAGAGGATTTTAGAAAATCCTGTTTCACCATAGTTATTGCAATGGTAGAATGTAGTCTCCTTCTCCAACACAAAGAGGAGACTAGTTACAGTACTCTGTGTAGTCATGTTCCAAAGTAAGAAAATCTCCCCCTAAAATATTTTTTGGTTATTTAGCTGATCGCTGTATCTTGAGAATTATCATGTCCAAAGGCAGGAGGGAATCTCTGAAAAGTTTCTGTACTGACAAGTCAAAATGTTTCACTCTCATCACTCCATCACTCTACTATTAAACTTTTCTTTTCTGAGTCTGGGGAAGAATAATGACAAAGGATTTTTTCCACACTGTTTCCAGTAATTATTGTATAGGATTTAGCCCACGGCTTTCATGTGGTTTTGCCTTATTTGTATGATCTGAAAAGTTAGACTGTGTCAGAGATCTTTAATATAATATATTTAATGCACCTAACATGTCTTAATACACCATTCTTCAARATGCAGATGGAGAGCTGTGAATTTACTGGGAAGTTGTAGGCATCCCATTGATGCCACTACTTACATTACTCATGCTTCCAGTTGCATGATGCTTCCCCCATTTAAACTGGGGTTGTCTTCCTTCCTGAAAGTGTTTTCTCCACTATTTCTATTTCCAGAAATTCAATGTGGAATACATTTTGTCTGTGATATCAGCCTGGATTTTTTTTTCCACAGACCTACAAAACTCATGTCTCCATATGTGTGGTAAAATTTCCTTTTGAAAATTATCTAGGAATAAAGATTGGTGGCTCCTTCTGCCAAATTGTGGCCCAGGTCTTTTGAATGATGGCTTTTGCTGAAGGCAGGTAAAATTCATAAAAATGAAGGCAATTTAAAATGTGTGTTCAGCACATTGTAACTGCTACCACATCACACTTTCCTGAGATTTTATTGCTATCTGCTTTTTTGTTTCGCATTRTTTGCTCTGTTTTTTCCAGTTCTTCAGATAAGCATTATAGGATGCTCAGGATGGTAGTATCTAAATGAGCTCTTCAGATCCTGAAGCATATATAGAGATTTTTTAGCAAGTCTCCTTTGAGGGGGCAGATGTCAAATTGTGTCATGCAAAGCAGCTTGTTGCAAACTGGATGTCTTTCAGAGACTCATGTTATGAGTCAGACTGTCTGCTACTGCTTTCCCCCACAAGTGGAGTTTCTTACAAATCCTTGAAAACAGTGGATTTCTCCCAAGTATCTAGTCAACCTGCAAGAGGGTTTCAGCACTTCAAAAGGCCACGTTTTTTGTTTCAAGAAAGGACAAGAACATGGTTACCAAGACATTCCCCAGTCATTACACTACATGCATTGCACAAATCCTGTAAGATTTGTCCCTGACTGCACAGCAAATCTTTGTTTTGTCTGCTTCCTGAAGAGGATAATAACTTCAGGAGAAAAAAGAAATCCTTCCTGAAACATGTCAGGAAATCTGGTTTTATATGACCCAGATGGTTTCTTTCATCAAGTGATGTACATGCACTGGCCATGATATATTATGATAATGTCTCATGCTGATTTCTGTGTCTGATGAGTGAATGTCTAAACAGCTATTGAGAAATGGTTGTGTTGGAAGACCAGATAAAGGAAGTCAGCTTTGCTTTCTGTAACACACCTAATGCCTACATGTTAATTATTTCTTGTATTGGCCACTGTGGACAGCACTGAGGTATCTTCTTCCTTTTTTTCTGTCACACTTGAAGAATGGGATGCTATGCAGAGGGACCTGGAACAGCTCAAGAAGTGGGGCCATGAGAATCTCATGAGGTTTAACAAGGTCAAGTACAAGGTGCTGCACCTGGGTCAGGGMAACTCCCAGTATCAACATAGGCTGGGGCACGAACAGATGGAGATGTTCAAGGCCAGGCTGGGTGGAGCTCTGAGCAGCATGGTCTAAAGGAAGGTGTCCCTGTCCATGGTAGGGTATTGGAATGATCTGATCTTTATGGTCCATTCCAACCCAAACCATTCTATGATTCTATGATCTTGCCTAGTCAACTAAGTGGAATGAGAGACATAGAATATTAGCCCACACTAAGATCACTACCTCCTGAAAGGGGGAGAACTAAGTCATTGTCTTTAGAAGGTACTGCTTGGTATTTCTTAGTTTAAGTTAATAGTACCAGCATAAACCATAGGGAAGAGAGTTTCTGCCTGAAAGCTGTTCACTAAGTTTGCAGGATGTGGGAAGCCAGTAATAGGGGGGAGGAGGATGATTTACCATAAACCACAGCTATAAAGAAACTCTTATTCTGTACTAGATAGAAAGGTCCTTTTAACTAAGTGTATTTTCCATTAAATCATAGGCCAGTACTGGAAAAGGGCCCAGTAGCTTGGTTGAATGCCTCTGCATCTTTCTAAGCAACCTAGCCCTGTATAAGTGTGTTATAAAGCAGCCAAGTAACTATATCTGTGATCTTGGAAATAGGTATTTCCTGGAAACACACTGTGACAACCAAAGTGCTGTACCATATTCTTTCTGGAATTATGGGCATAAGTGGCATCTCAAATGCATTACTGTCATTTAGAAAATGCCAGCCATTAATTAACAGTTTTCATTTGTYGTATTTCTTGTTGATAAACCAGAATTCATTTCTAAGACAATCTATTTCATAATGAGTAAACTGTCTTGTCTCTGCTGTGTTGTTACATGATAAAGGATCTTGCATTTGTCTCTGAAGCCTCTCTTCAAGGGAGGACAAGAGACACTGAACTTGGTTGTTTCCATCTGTCACTCTGGAACTATATCAAAAGCTAACCAGGTTTTAAATTAATTCCCTGTATGCAAACAAAAATACTGGTAAAGCAGAGATCTGAAAGTCCAGGTGTTCTTTTACTAAACRTAGTAATTTTATACAGGTTTTGACCAATATTTTCTAATGATTTTGAATGTTAAAATTAATAGACATTATTTTTAAAGAACTAGAAGGCATATTTTCATCCTTGCACTATTTCCAAATTCCTGCTGTTACTCTAAACCACCATTAATGTAGGTTATAGGCAGCCAATAAGACCACAAAGTAGTAGTTTTCCAAGTGTGTAGATGCCACATTGTTGACTCCATATGTATTGACAACTGTATTTTCATTGTTGATTTCATTGCCTTTCAATCACCTATTAGAGAAGACAAGCCAGTATTACAGAGATGATCTTTTGTAGGTCACTAGAAACACTTGTAGTGGGCAAGAAACCTTTTCTGCATAATGGAGCTGGCCCTAGAGCTGCATTCTGGTCACTCTGTGACATGGAATTTGCCCTGCATTGGACCTGAGATCATACTGAAGACATCTGGCGTCTAAGTCATTGCACTGGATCCTTTTCCCGGGATGGCTGTAGTGATTGCACTTACAAAATAATCTGAGCCGGATSTCCTGTGTATTTGCTCTGATGAGGAGACTCTAGTTACTGGTAAGGAAAACTTCAGAGCAGCACAGAAAGATAAGAAAAGGATCTGTGGACTGAGAAACGAAAATTTGGTAGCTACAACAGAGACATAAGACATCACAGGACCCAGCAGAACAGAGCTATGATTTTGCCAGAGGAGTGGACAGGTATGTTTGTCTTTTATTACTTTTGGACACGGTCCATCTTTCTGAGTGATGTCAGTTACGGAAAGGTGAAACATCAAGCTGCATATCCCAGTTCATACAGTAGTAACAGGGATGTGCTTTATGTAAGTGCAGTGAAATAGCTAGAGACCATGGAATTCAAAGTCCTGGCAACACAGACTCATTTAGTCTGCAAAGACTTTTCTTTGCTGAGGTGTAAGTTTATGTTCTGTACTCACTGAAGCAGTGTTCCTCTCAGAGCTCTACACTGCACTACAGCCTCAAAAACTATAGGTCTAGGCCTTTTATGTGCTATAATAGTTTGCCACTGAGAAACAGGCACTGTACAGATGGTTGTTTGATCATCTGTGTAGGATCTGTCTTACGGCACTGCAGAATAGTTTTTTTTTTCACTCCTTCTAACCATTGATCTTTGTTGAAGAGACCAAGTATGCTGGAATTGTTTTCATCGGCTTTTGTTTGTTTCTGAAAACAACAAAAGGGAACTGTTGAGAGCTGTATTCAGTGTTGGCAGTCAAGATCCCACTTTTTCTTTCCCATTGTCTTCAATTTGCTAGCTAGTAACAAACAGCATAGCAACTGCCCTCTGCTTTCTCGCACAAGTGTCCTGTAATATTTTGGTACATTTGTGCCCAGGGGTGTATTCAATCTGTTACTAAGCCCCATGTAGCTAGTATAATTTGTTGCTGAATTATAGCTAAAACACCCCTAGAAAAGTTATTTTAGTTTTAAGAAAATTCAGAGCCTGTCTCACAAATACAATTCTCAAATGTTTCTCGGGAAATGGGAGGCTGGACAGAAAAGCAGTAACTGAAGTGTGTTTGATTTCAAGTTACTGTACCCATGAGTGTACCTRTGTTCATACCGGGTGGACACTCCCATGACTCTTCACCCCTGATTTTCCCTTGCCATATTACCTCCTTTGCCAAGAGGGAAAAGCCTTTGTCTTTCTGCCACCCATTTCTGACACTGAGGAGCAGCATTGAACAAGGGCTAGTAAGACAGTCTCACATCAAGGGGCTGCCAGGGTTAATCTGTGGGTGGTTCCCATGTGCTCCAAGTGCTACGCAGGACTTTTGAGTGTGCAGGTGTTCTAGCTCAACCCTTTGCAGCTCCCCCTCCTTGCTTCCCCCCTTTATTAGCAAGGAAGCCCTTCAGTTGGATGGGGARCAAAGCCAGCCCAGGGCTCAGGAGGAACAATGACCAAAGAGCAGACTGCAGCTTGTAAACCAAAACCTCCCTTGGGGCTGCTACTAAAAGGAGATCAGAGAGAATTCCTATGCCAGTAGGCATCTGGGTTTCTCCGTGCAGTCTCTTGTAGCTAGTAAATTTCTGGCCTGTCTATCAGCATGGTAGTGTAGTCATAATGCATTTATTTGCTCCCTCCATAKGCAGGCAGCAGGGAAACATGGACAAGGAGAGCTGCACAGGGTACAGCAATGCTGTAGTGCTACAGGACTGATCAGAGCTGCACCTTTCATCATCACACTGATGACACAGGTCAGCGAACCCCAGAGAGATGAAAAGGATAAAGCATTGGGGAATACCTCTATAAGAGCACACGTGCCCTGGCCAAAATGTCACACAGGTTGGCAGGCTGCCTCCACTGACCCACCCTTGCTATCAGTTGGTGATGGTGCAGGAAGGGCTTTTTATGGTTTATTAAGGCATTTGAGTTTACATGTAGTTATGACAGCTTCACATGAAGCAGCCACTGTTGTGAAGGGCTTGATGGAAGAGCTGGATTCTGAGCTGACCATGGAGAGCCTGGCCACAAGCAATTAACCAGCTAGGTGTCATTTTACACTCAGTTGCTGGGGTCTGGGAATTCAGAGGAGACAGGGAGGAACCTCTGTGGTCTCTAGAACATGACTTTTAAGTAGCTGTGTTTTGGTGAGTCAGAGACAGCTTCTGAGTCTCATGTGGCATTCAGCACCAGAGATTTTTACCTCTGGGAGTATCTATGGCTGCAAAAGCTCATTTAAAAGACTACTTTGATTTCTTGCCTGGGCAGCATCTGTAATCTTTCTTATGAGCATCAAATGAGTACATGAGAAGAAGGGTGTGTTATTTACCTGTGTGCACAGGTCTGTACTGGCAGACCATACATCTATTCAAATGGGCATAGGACATTTGTCAGTGTGGCAACTGCATTGCCTTGGATATTATAACAGTCTTGTTGAAAGTGTTTTATATTTGAGGGAAGCTTTATATGAATCTATCAAAAGCAGATGCCAGAGGTGATGTACATGTCTGAAGGACTAGGYTGGGACAGGGCACATATACACCAGGTAGAGTTTCCATTTTGGGATTTTTTTTGCTGATCTGTTCTTTTGAAGAAACATTTTGGAAAGGGTAAAAATTTTTGACTGAGTATGCTACAGCAGTAGCAGTTCAAAACCAGCAAACCATCTAACCCTCCAACAAACATCTTGCTTGTAAAAAAATTTAGCATCTCCCCCCACCCCCAAATATTTATTTTTTACAAAGTTTTTGAGATTACTATTTTTTAAGTCTTGACAGGTGAGACCAAGTTCGGGTCATCATGCAGAACAGGTGCAAAACATCCCAAAGCACCTCACAAACCACAACAGACAAGAGGTCCTCAAGGTGTATCAGATCACAAATTAATAGGCCCAATATTCAGGTACCCACAGATGCTCCTGCCCTGACCCTGAAACCATCTCTTAGAAACGCCAGGAAGGTAAAAGAGCCATATGGAGACATCAGTCCCTCTAAAAATGGACTCAGCACCCTCTTTCCTTGTATTTGCCCACCCCTCGGTAGGCTGACTGAAAGCCTTGCAGCTTGCATTTGGAAACCAATAGCCAGGATGTCAACTGAAGGCAGAGGTTTGGCAGACACAATTTCAGTTGCAGGACTTCTGAGCAAAGCTCTGAGGAACAAAAGTCTTAAGTGTATCTCTGTGCATTTCTTCTCTCAGCAGCTTCCCTGCTTGGTGCACTTTCCTTCTCTAAGGAAACCTTCAATAATTCCTTCTACATGGAAAACCTTTAATACTCAGGCCAATGGGGAGGGCTGAGGTCTTAAGATAGCTAAAGCAAGAATAGAAAACATCTCCCCTTTTCCATTCCCTCTTTCACCCACTTTCTCATTCTCTTGCTTTCCCAGCTCAACCACCCAGCATTCAAATACACAGCAGTTCTTCCACATTATCCTTTTCTTCTGCACCAACTGTCCAGCCATTCTGGGAGARTGTGGCCTTTGTGTCACCAAAGTAACTCCTAGAAAGAACATTACACTGCCAAGATGACCAAGGAGTGTTCCAGAATAAATCCCCAAGGGCTCCCAGACTCTCAAGRTTTGGCACTTGGCCCTCAGCATGCRTAGTCTCTGACACCCAGTTCTCTTTGTGTTAGCCTGGGAGCAGGAGAGTGGGTGCTGACAGTTTTTTCTTCTTGGCTTTGAGTGGGCCAGGGGGCCCTTCAGCTGCACTTGCAGGATTTCACCACCATGTTGGAGAGCTGCTCCACTTTGGGGGTCCTCCCAACATAGTACAAGATAGTGAGTGGCTCCAGGTCCTGGGGAACACAGCAGGGTGAAGCAGATGCCTCAGGGTTCAGTGTGTTATATAATCCCAGCACCTGCAGGAACAAGGTAAAAGTCATGACAAGGTCAAGTATATGTTTAAGTTGGTTGAGGACAGGAAGGCCTGCCAAGTAAACAAGTCTCTAGGTGTTTGGACTATGTTCATTGGAGGGTATTTCCTTGAGGTGAGTAATGCTGCCCTGTCACTTCCTGATCATGGCCTACTTCTAAAGGGTCTCACCTGTCCTGGCCTGACTCTTAAGAGTATTCCTGATTTTTTTTCTAATTGTAATACCCTTGCTCCCTGTGACTGATGCCTAAGGGTTGAAGGAGTGCAAGTAGTTGTCTCCTTTCATCTCTAATTTGGTACAGCAGTGTGTCACAATTTTTGCTTTTAACAAGTTGGGTGTAACCAGCCTGAGGCTATGCTGTCTTGCATTCTATTAAAGAAACCAGAAGAAAGAATATCAGTGCTGCTTATTTCAGCTAAAATCTCCAGATAACACTGGATGGATGCCAGCCCTCTCAAGTATCCACAATTCCCTCCCAGCTTTGAACTGTCTGATGCCTTCTCTCTCCACTCCATTCTCCAAGTCATTACACTATAATACTGGAGCCAGGACAGTGTCCCATGGGACCCCACTGGATTCTTCCTCCCAGCTGGCCCCAGCCCACRGATGACTATACACTGCAGCCATGTAACCACTACAGAACAGTTGCCACATTGCTTGCCAGAGGTGATCACTTCTCAGCAGTGAGCATGAGCTCACCTGCACTACTGTGGTCTCTTTAGTGCTTATCTAGTATAAACTACAGGATCTGGCRCATTGTATTTGACTACTTCACAGTCGTTGGGGATGAGACGTGCTAAGGATACATCCTGTTCTATCATCCAGATTCATGTAATCACTGCAGTAGAAACTCTCTGGGATCCTAAGGGTATTATGTGCTTTAGGGTCACTACTCAACAGCAAGTTGAACAGACTGGTGAGAAGTCTTCTTTTCACCATGTCTTTCCCCAATGGTGCTGGCAAGCTGTCAGCAGCAATATTGTTCCAAAGTTTTCTTTGATCACTTCACTGACCTTAACACTTGCTCATTTCCTTTCTTGCTTAAGATCATTAGGAGTCATTCTAAAGTCTCCTTTCTCTCACACTGACTCAGTCCAGTTACCTTCTAGAGAGCTTCTCAGGACAGCCAGATGGTAAAGCTACATGCCCATTACCCTTTCAAAGCTGTTCATTCCCTTGCTTTGTCTTGTGCTTACTGCCCAGCATCTGTTCACTTCTAGCTGTTCCCACTGATATTAGTCCTTGAGCTTCACTGAACCTTACTGCTATGCAGACTCTCAAGCTCTCAAGAAAATGTTAGCATGTTTTCTGAAATATCATCTTTGCCTAGTTAATTATTCTTCAGCTGAATCTGCTTTTCCCAGTAAAATTTTTAGTGAAATCTGAAGTAATTTGCTAGTGAGCTGTTGCATTATCTTGAGTACTGCCTTTTATCTTCTGTGGGCAGAAGCACAGGATTTTCCTCTGGCTTTTCCTGTTTCAGCAGTGGACTGGCTGATCCTTAATCTGTCTTCTCTTGATACTTTCCCCATGCCTGTGATTTTCTATTACTTTTACTTTCTTCCATTCTTGCCAGGCTCAGACTGTGTTCTTCCCAAAGACTGACCAGAGGTTAGGCCCAAGTTACCTAAAGACATTGGCTTTCTGCCAAGTTTTCACTCAAAAATCTCACTGCATAGTAGCTTTCTCCCTGCTGTAGGTCAGGTAGGATTTATGCAATTGGAAAGGATACCTATGAGAAAGGAAATCTTACTGATCACTTCTGGACATGGGCATGGATTTCCCATCACTTTTGGGCTATAGCTGCCCCTTTAGGAGCAGATGGCAGGCAGACACATGCCATTGCACAAACATTTTTCATGATGACCTTTCAGAGAGTGTAGAAAAACCTGTCCAGTGCAAACTGCAGAAGAAGTTTTAGAAGATGATTATGAGAACTGATGTTTTATGTGAACAATTCAGTTAATACTATGGCCCCTGCCAAGGAAGTACCCTGAAATCATCAGTCCCACTGTTGTACATCTTATCCAAGAGACAACAAAGTCTTTCTCCTCAAGATTTGCCTGAAAACACAGATTCAGTACTGACTCCAAAGAAAGCACATTTTCCCTGCTGAACCACCTAGGCTTTTGTCTGCAGTTTCCTTGGGATGTTTTTCACAAATATTGGTCTGAACTGTTTTTGCTGCTTTGAAGAGAGTGGATATGATCAGGCTTAGGGAGGAAGGGTAAATCACAGCCCCAAGCCCTGGCAGGATAATATACAGGATGTACCGTGCTGTGAGTGGTGTCTGCGCTGCGGAGATACGGACAAGGGCCCGAACAAAAATTAGCGAAGTAGCCCTTAGGCTCATGGACCCATTTCCAGCCAAGGTCCTGTCGGAAGTCAATGTACAGAGGACGCACGCAGCAGTTCTCCTCCAGGTTCCTGAAACACAGTAGTGAAACACAGTGAATCTAAAAGGGGGCCAGGCAGTGCTCATGCTGCTGGCAGGCAGCTTTCCCACCGCCTCTGTGAGGCAGCACCCAGCTCCTCCTGCAACTGGTCAGGGGCTGCTGCGGGGCCCTGCCCAGCCTGTGCTCCAGGAAGGTGCTTGTGAGTCTCTTTGAACCAGTGGTTCAACCAGAAGCACACAGCAACTCTGCTGAACTGGTCAGTGGCCCTTCTGGCACTGTGTGGTGACCCACAGCCCCCTTGGAAGGCTCTGCCTTTTCCTGGTGTGGAGTCTCGCCAGGCCTGCCCATCTCAGGCACAGGATCCGGGCAGGTTTCTCACTTACCGGAAACAGTAGTTGGTATCCAGGGCCCGTTTCTTTCTCTGGCTTCCCAACACAGGGCTCTCCAGGCGATGTGGGGGTAACATCATCAAGATGAGGTGGGGATTATGCAAGTCTTTCTGCTTCTTCAGGCGTCCCAAGTCCCCACGGCCATAATCATCCTCACTGTCAATGCCTTCAGAAGAACAGCATCCACAAAGAGGAAATCAGCATGGAAGTGAGAGATGCAAAAAGATCTTTCAATACTCTCAYGCATGCTCTTGAACCAGGTTCAGGTGCCACATCCACCTACTATAGGACTTCTTCCCTCACAGGGAGCCCTTTATTTCTGGTGAATTTGACTGCTGCAGGCCTGAAATGGAGGCTTACAGACCACCTGTTTTACCATTTGCAAACTGCTGGTGGGGCCATTAATCCATCCCACTCACTCCTGGCTTGTGTCCCAGGACAGGCAGGAAGATGAATGGTTTAAASAAGATGTCAGATAATTGGCACTCTGCAGAACAGACTCAGAAATGGAGCCTGTGGGGGCCAGCAGCTGCTGCCCAGGGCTGCAAGCCAGGAGGTTCCTACTTCTTAGGCCAGCCAAGCCACTGACTCTCTGAGCCACCTCACACAGGACGCCTAACTTCCTTGTGTTTCAGTCACCCTAATTGGAAAGCAGAGCCTCTGTGGAAATATGASAAGGCATCAAGTTGAACTTCCCAGAGAGACAATGAAATATAGAATTATTCCTTTCTACAGGCACTCATGCAAACCCACCCAGCCTGCCCTTACTTCTTTTTGTAACCTATGTATGTAGTGGATATACCCATACAACGAACATGCAAACCCAGATGTGTACATGTTTTAAGACAAAAGTTAGAGAATGTAAAACACTCGAATACACAAAGCAAGACTTCATTTTTCTCTTTAGATGCCTGAGGCTTTCCCTTCCCAAASAGCCTCCCTTAATCCACTCTTTATCACCTTTGAACTTGATCTCCAGGACCTCATGCAAATTCTCCAAGATGTCCCCGTTGGGCTGAAAAGTATGGCAAGGACAGTGTATGCTAATTTCCAGGCCAAGGTTGGACTCTGCAAAGAAGATGAGTCTGTGAGATACAGTCTTTCTCAGCTGGGACTGCTCCTGGCACAAGGAAGTTTTACAGAAGACACATACTGAGCTAACTCCTAGACAGTGTGTTGGTCTCAAAGTCAGGAATGCTATCAGAGTTGGGGAAGAGAAGCTGCCTTGGGAAGAATAGGAAGAAAAATCCACCAGTTTCACCTTTGCCAAAAGCATCGCTCTTGCTAAAGGGARCTTTCTGGTGAGATAAGAAAGGTGCTTCTTGTTACTTTTCTTAGGCTATTCAGCATACAAAAGCAATTGTGAGCTTCAAGGAGCTCCATTGGAAAAAAAAAAAGTATTTTGAAGAGCTGGCTTTTGGTCTCTGTTAAATAATTTTGCCATCCTCAGTACCTGTTACCTGGCTTCTGCTTAGTGTCTGAAGGAGAAATCTGAAAATAAGCAAGTTAAATATGGACAAGTAATTTCACTGGAAGCAGTTTCTCAGCAGCTGCAACCTCCTGTTTTGTTGAACTGCTAGCAGTCTAAGTCACACAGACTTTCCAGAGGCAAGTCTATTTTCATAATAACTTCCTGGACCAGTCATGCTGTGTGGGCCTGACTAAAGGAACATAAGACTCTTATGAAAGCTACTTTTTCATGTTGTGCCATGAATTAAAACATCTGGCTTCCTGGGGCATTGACAAGGTGCCTAGCACCTTTTTTCCTCAGTACTAAATATACTCCGTGATGTCTTGTCAGCTAGTGTGCCTGCCCAGAATTTGCTGCAGTTCCAGCTCTGAACTCCAGCCATCAGGACACAACTTTGATTGCTTGAAATAGGAGGAGCCTGCAAGCTCACAGCTTACCCTTCCAGGGAGCGGCTGCTTGCCAGTACCTGCATTCCAGTCTTCAGTGGCACCTAGCTTCTATCTGTGAGGCCAGTCCAGCTGTGAGTCACGATGCCTTATGCTCCAGCTGTGAATGGGGTCAGTGTTCTTGCTGGGAACTGCCCCATAGCTATCTGTTGGGCTATCCAACCATGGCAGAGGTATGTTCTCTGCAGTTTAAAGCCTCCATCTGTCTAGGTATGTCAGCCTCTGCTATTTCCTCACCTTTATACCTGGCAAGCTGTACACAGCTCAATAAACCAGGATCCTTGCTGCTTTTTCCCAACTACATTTGATCTAATCCACATGAAAATTTAAGCAAAGCATTTGTCATTTTTTATGTCTCATTTAGATGAGCAGAGGGGTCCCCTCTGGGCTTAGCGTAAAGAATTTCCTCCTCCCGAGAATGAATCGTCTTTCTGACTCAGCCCACAGAGCTACACTGTGGGGCCTTCAGGACAGAGCCACGAATGTAGCAAACATCACACATTGAGGAAGCTGTGTGGAGGAAGGCTCATTCTCAGACTGAAAGGACCTGTCCTCTATGTGAACCAAGCTCCTGCAACAAGGGGAGCAGAAAGATACTTCTGTCAACATTGATCCCCATTTGTATGGATGCCTTGTCATGYGGTCCAGCTAAGACCCCTACCTCTGTGCAGAAGCCACTCACGCACGGTCTCGGTGACATCAAAGGACAGCCACTCAGGGGAGCCCCGTGTCTGCACATTCCTGCCACTGAGGTATCGCTGCTTCGCTATGTGCTCATCCGGCCGAAGGATCTGTGTCAGGAGTGGTAGAAAAAATCAGCCAGTGCCATGCAGAAGGAAGGGATAGCCTTCAGTCTTTTTTTCTCCKACATCTTGCTAAAAGCTAATTCAGAATGTTGGTCTTGGCAAGTGAGACACCAGGAGTACCGTGGATCAGGTGAGAAGGACATGCTTCACAATCAGCTTGAACTCCAGGGACCTACATAATGCTTATTTCTGTMCTAAGCAGCCCACCTCTCTCATTTCAGCATTGTTTTGGGGCACACATCCAGAGGCAGAAGCACATGGCAATTCATTTAAMGGATGGGTTTGGTTTTGTATACACCTGTGGAATATGGATCTGAATTTCACAGTAGAACCACCAGTAAATACAGCCACAAGTCACCTGCCCAGCAAGGTGAAATAAACCCAATTTATTGCTTTTTCACTGTGGCATTTTCAGGTGTTTCACACTCTTCAACTTCTATCAAAACACATCCAGGCTGCTCAGGTTTGGAGACCTCTCCCTCTGCTCTGAYATCTCTTCCCACTTCCAGATAAACAACCTCAGCATGTTCAAGGTGTTCCTTCCTGCAGACCCCAGGCTGACTACTGAACCTATGGAGAAACTCTGAGATCCCCTGCTTGTTAGTTGTGTCATCTGGTGGAGAATTGCTCTGATCTTTGAACATAGATTCCAGGAAGTCCTCAAAAGCTACCATCCAAAGACAATTTTAGCTGCACTCTAATGGAAAAGTGGACAGACAAGAGCCTGTGGGAATGTGCTGCCTGATTGCTAAGCTGCATCATTAGTTGGCCCAGTTCAGCCTATGACCACTTCTAAGCCTGAACCAGACCTTATTCTGTCTGAGTCCCTAGGTTCAAAGCAAACTCCAGGTAAGTACCTAGATTAACAGGTGGCCTGAATTGTGCTCATGGGGAGCTGCTGCTGAAGGGAACACTGAAAGCAAGCACCATTTTTCTAGCAAATCAGTGACAAGACAGAGAGCTCCATCCATTGTATTAGCACCAACTGTAGTGCAATAGTCAAAGGAACAAAACTGCCAAGGGACCTACACATGCAGATGTGACAGAARGGTCAGAGCGGCTCCACTAATGAGGGCTCCCATTCCAAGTGGGAAAAGGGCAGCACTACATAGTAAAAAGAAAGAAAGATGACCATATCACTGCATATGGTGGAAGAAGCCATATGAAGTTACAGCATGCTCTTCTCTCTCTCTTCTGTGGTTCTGCACATATCTGCTGAGACAACCGYTAAGGAGTCAAGCTACTCTGGGCTTAGACACTGGGGAAGGTGGTAAGAATACTCACCTGGAAGAGCTCAATTCGCTGCTCACTGCGTTTGGAGCTTGGGTTGGGCACGCGCAGCACCCGAAACTCAGCCCGGAATAAGTTGGTGCTATTCTTCTCTGCTGAGGACACATTAAAGCGGAATACGTTGGAGGTGACACCTTTTGGACAAATGCCCAACTCATCTAGGAGAAAGAATGTAGAAAGACTGAGAACCACATCTCTGAGGGGTAGGATCACAAATAAATATTGTTTGAGGAAGAGCTTTCCAGTAGAGACCTGTCATTCAAACATCTTGCCATCTGTGAAGCACAGCTATCTAGCTCAAGATAACACAGGATGAATTCTCAAATTTGGTCTACCTTGCAGCGTTTTGCAAACATTGCCACTACTGCCATTGTTATTTCAATGCCAAAAGATAGAGAATCAGTAGACATCAGCCACAGTATGTTCATTATTATGTCTTCTAACTCTGCTCACCAAATGTTGCTAATATTCATGAGTTGGCTGCATCCAAAATGACAACCCCAGGCCAGACAATGGGGCAACCTCACTTGCAGTTATTGGGGCCTAATCCCAGCAGCAAGGATGCTGTGATTCTGCTCATGATGGAGACATGAAGCCACATAGGAGGTGATCCCATTGCTGCTGGATCTCAGTTTTACAAACCTGGACATTGCCTCCTAGAATGGAAACCACCCAGTGCCAAAAAACACAAAGCATGAGGTGTGGAAGACCCTTTAGGGCAGTGACTGTTCAATGTGAACTGAAAGAAATGGCTCTCACTCATGTTGTGGAGAAGAAATTCAYGAATATTATTAGCCCTGTGGAGATCATACATAGAGGCAGGAAATAATACAGCAATTCTCTGCTTCCATGTGTGCTTGCTGAACAGAAAAWCCCATTTCACAGATGCCCCAAAAGACAGTATGTAAAAGCTGTAAGGTCCAAAACAGAGCCCTCAAGAGAAAACAACACTCTCTTCAATGGGACCATTTTGGTCTCATGGAAGTCTGTGTTGTTGCTGTTGTTTCTCTCCTATTAAGCTTGTTAACCTCCAAGGCTCTAGCATCATGAACGGTTCCTACAGACAACACACAGCAGCTCCTGCTCTACATCCACAGGCAGGTTTGTCAACAATCCTGCAGAGCCTCTCAGATGACCTCTGACTGTTGTCCAATGCAGCAGGAGGCTCTTACATCTGCTTATATTTAAGCTGCTTCTAAACAAACAAAAACAAACTGTCACCTCCCAGACATGGTTCCAGTCTGTGACACAAAAGGCTGGAAGCCCTAGCTGGAACAACCTTCAAGTTACATTCCTGAAGTCCTGCAGGCCCTTGTTTTGATCCCATCATCACTATCTCCCCCAAGAAACAGCTTCTGAAGATGGAATAGTGTGAAACAGCACCTTTAAGTGCAGAGCTTCACCTCCCATGCCGTATTCTGATTTCAGTAACACTGATGTACTCACATCAGTGGAGAGGAAGGTCTTCCTCTTGTGCTACATTCAAATTCAGCAAGCAGGAGACTGCCAGTTTTCAATAATGTGTTTTTAGGGTGGTGAAATTTTATTCAAAAAGCTAATGACCAGATGTTCACACTGGGCTTTAAGTGGAGGAGTTTTTGTCATTGGTACTACTGAATGGAACAGCACTCCCACACTGGAAAGTCTCTAGCCTGTTACTGAAGAGGTGGCTGGTTCAGGAATCCCAGGAGACCAGACCCCACTGCAGGCACGAGCTGGCCTGCTCTGCACAGCAACCCTGCAGGACAAGGAATATCCCCAGCCACACACAAACACCTGCTGTGGAGACTTCACCCCAGTGACCAGTTCAAGGTTTGATGCCACAGAAAAACCCAGCAGAAAMCCCAAGTTCTCATTAAACCCAAGATCTCACTAAGTTCCTAAAGACATCTTCCTTACAGATAACTRTTTTGTGTCCTAGACCTAAGCAGATACTGTGTTTCAATAGCCCCTGAAGCTGCTTTGCATGCGTAGCCCTATTAATAGTGCTGTTAACAGCCTGCCCTTTCATTTCAGACCTGACTGCCTGGCCCTAAGGGATGTCCCAATTATCATGAGAAATGCCTTTTTGCATCAGACCAGTGGTCAGTCTAGCTAAGTATGTTTCCAACAGTAATACTTTATCTGACAATCTGTTTTAGAGACTGCACATATGGTCCTACAGCACAGAGCTGGTGAGAGACATCTAATGCTTTATCACATCCTTAATATTTTTAGCTAAATTAGACAGCCATGGTCGTAAGATGTTACCATCCATTGTATATTACCTGCTGTCTCCACATTGCTTCCTACTTGCTTCACCTTCAAGGTGCTGGTCTTGGGAGATCTTCCCAGTGAAACCTCTAATAGCTCTTCCCTTCTCTAAAGGTTTCATGTTCCCTTTGTACCCTGGGAACAAGCCCTCTGTGATGCAGAAATGGAGATGTGTTTTGTGTTTCACTCTGAGGTCTAGGAGGTTGGAGCCTGTTTCTTATAATAAGGGGTTCAGAATACAGGTCTCATTCCCAGGAAACTTGACAGCTTTGTGACAAAGTATCTTTTCACACTAGGTCGTAGGCAAAGGCAGCAATGGGATTTTTCAGGGAGTTTGCTTCAGTCCCAGCTAAGGTGTGTTAATAACACTGGAATCCAGACCTGTTCACCACTAGCACAGAACAAAGCCTGAAGGCAATATTCCTGCAAACTCTCCCAGTCCACAACACTCAACGGCAGTAACTAAGTCTGGAGACTGGGAATCTACAACACCCTGTGAACCCATGCCAGGCTATGTCTGGTATGACATATCCTCACAACTGGACCCTGCTGTTACTGTGGAGTTCAGACAGCCCAGAGCTGTTTGCTGCACCGATGATGAGACCAGTAGCCTCTTAGTGTGGATAATGTGATACAGGGAACAGGTATTTGGGGGAGCTTCCACCTTCCTAGCACTGCTCCACGGGAGGTGCAGGTTCACCATATGCTGCTGATCCAGTAGAAACAGCTTTTGTTTCTGGCAAGCCCCCGGAAGGCTGATGGCTGTGTAGTTTGAGTTTGATGAGAAGGAAGGGTAGACTGTTTGTGAGCAGGTATTGCTTCATTCTGTATTATACCCCTGAATCACCAACATATTTCATGCCAAAGCTGCATAACTTTGGAGAAAAAAGTTGATCTACCTGGAACTCTGCAGGTGGCAGGTTTCGAGAGAATAGATTTTTGGCTGTAATGACCCATGACTTTAATTGCCTTGTCTCTCAAGCTGCCTTGAAAAATGGCATCTCTGTTTTTCCTCAGGAAGGTAAGCAAAAAGCTATTTGCAGGACTGTTGCAGATGCTCTCCAAGCTCAAATCTAACCAAGCCAGTGGCTAAGAGGGTCTAATGYACCTGAGTTTTATGAGATTCCTGAAGGGGATGGCTGGTTAAATGTGAATTATTCTCTGAAAAAAAAAAAAAAAAGTCCCTCAGGCAGTGTACCTGAGAGGCACAGGAGAAAAGACCATTCTGTAGGTCATCATGCATCTCAGAGAAGGGATGGARAACTTGTGTCTCTCCCCTGCTATTTTTGCTCCTCAGCTCTCACTTTTGGGCCCTGCATCTTAGAAAAGGATGGGTTCTCTGAGCCAATGTCACTTAGAACTCATAGTCAGGAGCTAGAACAGTTTGTATGAGTGTGCACACATTTCAGACTTGTCTGTATCATCACTGCAGCTCCTTCAACGGAGTAGTCCTCCCCTCCCCCCCCACCCCCCCAGGAGACTGGCTTTGGCTCAGAGTATGCTCTTAGATCACCACCTGGCACAGTGACAGAGTCATGGGAAAGTTGAACACCAGCCACTTCTGAGGACACAGGGCCAAATTCAGCCATGGTGTAAGCGACGAAACTCCCCAGGTTTCAAAAAGAGCGTGTCTTTTGACACCACGATCAGTCTGTAGCTAGTCTCTCCCAGTGACCAAATTATAAAGTTCCCTCTTTCTCTGGGTGATAGCATCTACACTGCCCACTCCCAGAAATTTCATCTCAGCACTACTGGGTGTTTTGAACCCACTATCCCAGTGACTTATGAGGACATGGGACAGGATCATTAATTTCCACAGGAATTTTCTGCAAGCCACAATTCTTGCTCATCACTCCTTTTCATGCACTTTTTCTTTAGTCCTCTTTCCCCTCAATTTTAGCCAAATGCACACCCCTAATTTCATTTGCTGCTGTTGTGCTATGTGTTTTCCCCACTTCCTTCCCCTCAAAATGCTGGTCCATAGTGTGGCTCTACTGTTTTGCAGACACTTGGTTTTCCCATATATAATTCCACACATGACACTTCAGTAGGCCAAAACTGCTGGAAAAAAGGTAAGCTGCTATACCCTATGCACTTTGTATTCCTTGAATCTTGGTGTCTCCTGAGCTAAGAGTTAATCATATAACCATATGGAGTGCAGTCTGCTAGAGATTAAGTAAAATTTGTTGCATCACCACATTGTAGCTTATTCCAGCTCATCGTATGTCAAGATTAACATAAACCTGGCAGAGTAACTGCATTTGGGGACTGCCTGCACCAAGTAACAGCTCCTCCCCAGAACTGCTGGTGTTCAAATCTTGTCCCCAGGACTGCACATCACAGGAGAACACCCTGGAGTGGTATGACTGCATCTTCCAATTCCAAAGAATCTTAAACAAACCAAAATGACTGCTTGTGCCTACATGTGCTCAGCATCTGCAATCTGCTTTGGGTTAATGTCTGCTCAGTCTCTGTCTTTGCATCTGCTCAGCTTCTTCACCTGAATCTGTTTAGTGTCCACATCTGGGCCTGCTCATCATCTGCTCCACACCTGCTCCACATCTGTTATGTTTCCTCAATCCCTGTGTTCCCTTGGGGGTCCCTTTGGCATCACTGTCCACTTTACACCTGCTCAGCATCCCTGATGTCTTGTGCTGGCTCCCTGAACGCTCACGCTATCTGAGTAACACCTTTGACAGTGCCCTCCAAGCAGCAGTCTTATTAAGTGCCTCTCCACCTCCTCTACTGCCGGCGCGGATGCTGCACAGACCGGACAGGTTGCCTGTATCTCTGCGGCAGACGCTGGAGCTTCAGCAGGGAGGCCGTCTACCTGCTGTCACCCGAACACCAGACCTGCGCCTCCTCCCAGCCTGGTGCGCAGCATTCACCCCATCACCCGCACTGCCTCTTCCCCTGCTGCCTTCCCATCTCACGGTTACCTTCCCCGTCTTGTCCCGATGTCCGGGCTCTAGGCACGGGCTTCCCTCGCCGCTGCCGGCCGGGGCCTGCGCCGATGCCGCTCCCGAACTCCGCCACCCACCGTCCCCGCTGCCGGCCAAGCCCCGCGCCGTCCCGAGCGCCCCCCGCCCCGCGGCTCCCGCTCGCCTCTGCACCCGAGCGCGGCCAGGCGGAGACGCGCCCCCCGCCCGCCTGCCCCTGCCGGGGAAGCGGCCCCTTCCGCGGGGGCCCGGCGCCCCTCGGCCCCCGGCCGGCGGCACCTCCCCCGCGCCCGAGATCCCGGGCAGTCTGCCCCGCGGGCGCGGCACCCCGGCCGGTACGGCGGGGAGCCCCGCACTTACTGTGCTCGGGRAGGCCCTGGATCATGTCAAATTTATGGATCTCTTTGGCATAGTATTCGGACTCGGTGTTGTCCTGAGAGCAGCTCTCTTCCTTCTCCTCCTCCATCTCCTCCAGCAGCTCCCGAGTGCTGTTATAGAGGGCCARGATCTGGTAGGGCACATGGGCCGGCCCCACGGTCTCTGGGGGGCTGGTGAGCCGCAGCTTGCTCAGGATCTGCCCCCGGATGGCCTCTACCCTCTTCTTCTTGATGTGGTCCAAGTCCAAGGTGGTGCAGGAGGACAGCGAGAGGCTGACGGTAGCGAAGCTAAGCAGAGAAAGAAGCACCAGAGCCCTTTGCACGTACATCTTCATGTGCGAGGAGGCGGCGGCGGGAGCCTCCGGGAGAGACCCCTGAGAGGCGGTGAGAGGGCGCGGGGGACCGGGCGGTGTGCTGGCGGCAGCCTCCCCAGATCCCGCAGGCTGAGGCTTGGCGAGGAGGTGCATGAACTCACTGCGCCGTGCGCGACTCAGGACTTCCAGGAAGAGCTGGCAGCGCTCCGCAAGGAGAAGCGGCAGGCGCCGTGCCTCGCCGCGCCGCGCTCTTTCCCCATGCGCCGCCCCGCGCCCCGCGGAGCCGGG